TTTGAACACCTTCAAAGAGATCTAGATACCTTACATGAGTGGTCAGTAGACTGGCAAATGAATTTTAATGCTGATAAATGCAAGGTACTACAGATAGGGAAAGACGAATACAAACGTTGAAGTATAAACTAGGCCAACACGGAAATAGAAAACTCAGTTTGTGAAAAAGATCTAGGTGTGTTGTTATAACGACGAAACCTGAAAACAATGTATTAGCGTTCGCAACAAGGCAAACAGGATTCTTGGGTTCATATCTAGGAGTGTGAGTAACAGAACTGCTGACGTTATCTTGAAACTTTACCTAGCATTAGTGAGGCCACACATGGATTATGCAGTTCAATTCTGGTGTCCTTATTATAGAATGGACATAGATTCTTTGGAGAGAGTACAAAGAAGAATGACAAAAATGATCCATAATATTAGAAACCTTCCATATGAAGAAAGACTGAAAAGCTTAGGCTTGCATTCATTAGAGAGGCGTAGAGTTAGGGGAGATATGATAGAGGTGTTCAAGTGGGTAAGTGGGATTAACAAGGGTAAAATGGAAGATGTTCTGAAGCTCAGTAATAACGAAATAACTAGAACAAATGGCTTTAAATTAGATAAATTCCGATTCAGAAAGGATATAGGCAAGCACTGGTTTGGTAATAGAGTTGTGGATGTGTGGAATAGGCTACCGAGTGCTATAGTAGGATCGGGGACGCTAGGGAGCTTCAAGACGAAGTTGGATAGGCACATGGAAGTGCTGGGATGGGTGTGAAAGGGTTCTGCCCTCTATGGGCCAGTCGGCCTCCTGCAGTATCCCACTTTCTTATGTTCTTATGTATGTTCTTATGTTCTCTGTTTGCCTTATTTCGAATATTAACACACTGTTTTCTAGGCCGTAGGCCCGGGCTTACAAGTACCCCTAGGTCTCTTTCACAAGTCGACTTCTCTAGGTTGATGTTGTTAAGGCTGTATACATTATAAGTATTTGTTCTTCCAATATTAAGTACGCTGCACTTGCTGGTGTTGAATTTCATTTGCCATTTTTCAGACCACCCCTGCAGTTTATTTAGATCCTCCTGTAATGCATTTGCATCCTGCCTGAATTAATTTGCCGCCCTATTTTGGTGTCATCCGCAAACTTGCTTATGTCACTGCTGATCCCAGTATCTAGATCGTTTATGTAGATTATGAACAAGAGTGGGCCTAGTACTGACCCCTGGGGAACCCCACTGGTTACACGGCCCCACTCAGATTTAACACCATCTACGCTGACCCTCTGCGTTCTATCGGTGAGCCATGATTTTATTCAATTTAAAACTTTCCCCTCGATACCATGAGCCTTAATTTTTCTCAGAAGCCTCTGATGCGGTACTGTCAAATGCTTTGCTAAAGTCTAAGTAAATAACATCGTAATTTTCGTCATTATCTACTACCTCGAAGACTTTCCTAAAAAACGTTAGCAGATTTGTTAGACAAGATTTTCCCTTTGTAAACCCATGTTGAGAGTCGTAGATTAATTTGCTTTTCTCTAGATGCGATCGGATGCTATCTGCTATAATTGATTCAAGAAATTTCCCCACTACTGACGTCAAACTGATCAGCCGGTAATTTGACGCTGATGCTCTGTCTCCCTTTTTGAATATGGGTACTACATTTGCCTGTTTCTACAAGTCTGGCACAACTCCAGTGTCTAATGATTTTGTAAATAAGTTTACGAGGGGTCCGCTAATCTGTTCCCTACACTCTTTCAAGACTCGAGGGAAAATTTCTTCCGACCCTGGGGATTTTGTTTTCTTTAGTTTATTTATCTTCTTAAGAACATCCTCTTTTCTGATAGTGATATTCTTTAATTTCTCTTCTTCCTTTCCCTTAAATATCAGTTCCACCTCTGGAATTTCATCGCAAATTTCTTCTGTGAAAACTGATAAGAAGTAGCTGTTCAATGCTTTGCTTATTTCTCCACTGCCATTTATCACTTCTCCCTTCCCTGACTTTAAAGGCCCAACTTTGTCCTTGACCTTTGTCCTATATACCTGGAAAAATCCCTTGGGATTCGCCTTGGATTCTCTTTTTATTTTATTTCATAGTCTCTCTTTGCTTTCCTTACATTTTTCTTAACATTCCTAGATAGTTCATTATACCTATTTCTGAGCTGCTTCTCCCCTCCCTTTAATTTCTTATATATTCCTTTCTTTATTCCTATGTCATGTTTTCGTTTTCTGGTCATCCACCTTGGCTCATTCTTATTTGACCTAATTTTTCTGTATGGTATATTTTGTTCTTGTGCTTTATGTAGTATACTAGTGAATATATTATAGTCATGATCAATTGTTGTGTCATTTATGACCTCACCCCTTCCTACTGGGGACTGACGTGACTGTTCCCAGGTGACCTCACCTCGTAATAGAATGCATGATGGTAATAGAATGCAACATGGTAATAGCATGCAACTTGATAATAGAATGCATCATGGTAACACAATGCAACATGGTAATAGAGGGCAACATGGTAATAGAATGGTAAAGAGATGGTGGAGATGATCCCATGAGAGAGAGAGAGAGAGAGAGAGAGAGAGAGAGAGAGACCAATATCCCGTTTCACCGTAAGAGATTAAGACAGTCAAGGTTGCTTTAACGTGTTGAGGCGGTCGTCGTCCCTCCAAGGTGTGAAAAAACTGGTTCCTGACGTCACCAACTAGAGTAATTGGGGTACCATGACTACAGACCAACGCCCTACTACTACTTCTACTTTTTTTTATAAGTGGCCTCCAGCCTCCCCCAATAGCCACACCTTCGCCACCATTTAATTTCCTTAATATTAAATATTCTAATACATAAGTAGCTATCCTATCTGTGTTGAATTAGTTGAGCCGCAGATCTATGCGGCATTCAGTGACTGTAGCCTCATAGTCAATATCTGCTGCTACTATTACTACTACTAATACTACTACTACAATCAATCACACTAACAACACCACCACCACCATAATTATCACCATAATCATCACCATCACCTCCATTACTACCACCACCATCACCATCAAATTCCTTAAAACAGTTCTTGCCTTACAACACACACCAAGGTGAGTCCATTAATAAATATACAATAGCTAACGTTCATATTATTTTCTTAAACTAATCACAGTGTACTTACAGACGTAAATAACACTGTATTATAAGAACAAAATCCAGATACACACAAACACGTGTGAAGTAAAATTTAGCATAGTTTGCCCTTACTAAGTTCGCTTCAACTCACGTTTTCTCTAATACCCGCGAGCCCTTTTTTGGTCAGTCTCTCTGGAAACTCACACTAACACCCACAATATTTACGTCTTTTTCATGTTATAAATCAACACCAAAACCAATCAGTATAATTTTGAATTTATATTAAGATTATAAAGGTAACTAGAAGGAGAGCAAATCATCAGCAGTTTCCTATTCAATGTGTGAGGGAAAAAGACAGTTTGTTATGATTTACTCCGGCAGTTTATGGCATTTGTGTTGCTAAGTCACTGACTCCACAAGCGATAATGTCAACACTAGGGGAAGTTAAGATGGTGTTTCCCTCTTGCGGGGACAGTAGACACCCCAGAGGTTAGACTGCAGACCCCAGACACCCCAGAGATTAGACCCCAGACACCAGGCACTCCAGAGGATAGACCCCAAACACCAGGCACCCCAGAAGTTAGACTCCAGACATCAGACACCCCAGAGATTAGACCCCAGACACCCCAGAGATTAGACCCCAGACACCAGACACCCCAGAGATTAGACACCAGACACCTATGAGGTTAGACTCCAGATACTAGACACCCCAGAGGATAGACCTCAGACACCCCAGAAGTTTGACTCCAGACACCAAACACTAAAGGCCAGACAACAGACATTTACTATCAGGGACCAGAAGCCAAACAGCACCTTAGTGACGGGTCTATTAGGTTATATTTTCACTCACTTAACCTTGATAATGAAATAACTCTTTGTACTCAAGTTTTTTGGTGAAGACTGCGATCAGCTGTGTTAACAAATGATCAGCTGTGTTAACAAATGAACAGCTGTATTGACAAATGATCAGCTGTGTTAACAAATGATCAGCTGTGTTAACAAATAATCAGCTGTGTTAACAAATGAACAGCTGTGTTTTCAAATGATCAGCTGTATTGACAAATTATAATTTATCAGCTGTTTTGTCAAATGATAAGCTGTGTTAACAAATGATCAGCTGTGGTAATGATCAGTTCTGGTGCCTCGTGTTGATCAATTATGTGACATATGATCAGTTACTTTGACATGTGATAAGCTGTGTACATGACCTGTTTGGACTAGATTCCTGGACATGTATGAACCAGCTGTTTGGACATGGGCTGATGCAGTTGCTGGGACATGTGTTGACAAGGTGAATGGACATGTGGGACACGGAGACGCATGAAGAGATAATGAGAGACGGGAGAGAAAGAGGAGACATTCTCATCCCCACATGTTAAGTATCTCTCACCCTCCCAACATACACACATGTCCAAAGGCCCAAAAAATTAACCACGCAGAATTAATGACTAAAAATATATCGAGTTAAATTTCCTTTTTGACTATTTTCTACTATGTAAATTTCTATAAGAATTAATGTATTGCAAACCCGTAACCTTGAAGACCAGAAAACTGGACACTCACTGAACAACAGGACCAGTCAAACCCCCTCCCCCACGTAGTCATATGATCGTTGCTAGATGAAAGTATGAACTAATCTTACAAGTATATAATAATAAAGACACACACACACACACACACAGAGGACCTCAATATTACAAACTTGACCTCCAAACGCATTACCTTTTACTACAAATTAGATGAATCCACTACCTGTTATTGCGAGAAAGAACCCCATATACGGACCTGTCATTCTATAACCTTTACACAGCGTCAGCGACCCTATGAAAGTGTGGAGTTTGAGGATCGCCAGCTATGATCCCAATAATTTTTTGCTTCCACATTCACCAGCCTGGAGGAAAAAAAAAGTGACCAGATGACGTGGGGGAGCAGTGTGGTATAAATGAAGGGAACGCAGGGGGAGGCAGCAGTGACTTCTCCTCCACCATCACACAATGAACGCTAAGGTAGGTCCTCCCTGTAGCCCTCAGATGTATAAGGTGTAGGTATATATGTAAGAGTAAAGGTACAGTACTACATATAGGGTTTTGTTATACAGTTCAAGGTCAGTTGTTCCCGTGTGATGAAGTGATATCAAATGGTGTCTTGATCTAGATATAAGATTAGTGGTAACTAGATTATTCTCTGACCTGGACAAATTATTATATTAATCTATCGTTTCTTATTCAGTTCCAACACAACATATTTATAGCCAAATTATCAAAAAATTTAGACAGCACACCTCCTCACTGTCATACGTCCATCTAACCTGTGTTAAATTGATGCTTTAAAACACTATTACTAATGGCGTATTTAATGAAGAGTTTAATTCTATGTTTCAGATCCTTATCCTGCTGGGCCTGGTGGCTCTTGTTGCTGCCGACAAACGGCCAGCCTTCAGCTACGGTGCACCACCAGTGAGTGCCTCTCTTGATGATATCCATAATGAGTTACATCTGTACGGCGGTAGAACACATATATTGAAAACATATTTCTCACCATTACTACCAGTCAATGTTTGCTCAACATCCCTACAATTTCAGGTCCAGCGTCCCTACGGAGCTTCCTCTGAGGAAGTCGTCGAGCCTCCCAAGTATGGCTTTGACTGGAACGTCCAAGACTCCGAGACCGGCAACGACTTCGCCGCACAGGAGAGCCGCGACCTCGATAACACCAAGGGGTCGTACACCGTGCAGCTTCCCGACGGTCGTCTGCAGACTGTGACTTACTACGTGGACGGTGACTCAGGCTACGTGGCCGAGGTCAGCTACCAGGGTGAGGCTCAGTACCCCGACTCTCAAGAGTCTAGGGAGTACGCCCCACCCAGGCCCCAGTACGGCTACTCCAAGTAACTCTTCCACACCTCCCACTCGCGCCCCACTTATTTATGAACGTGGCTATACCTATAACATGTAGCACCTTTCTCTACTCAGGCTAACTCTTACCAATATCTAGCATGAAGAACCCAAAATTCTCTTCCTTTTGTTTACCACTGACAACACATCAACAGTATCTCAAACTTCACCACATCTTCAGCACATTTCCCTTCCTGATTCTCTCAACAATTTGTTATCCCTCACGACCTACTGCTGTAGAGGCCCTCAGCGTCACTGCTCTCGTCTGTGACTGACGCTGAACTCGAAGTCTTTCATTCGCTGTAAATCTTCAGTGTTAGAATCACATACAGTCCCTATTGTTATATATATTAATGTATTTAATAAATCTATCAATTTTAATGCGTCTTTTGATGCTTCCCAGTATTTATTTTAACTAATAAACGATTATAACATGACTTTATACGAAACTCAAACAGTGAGAGGAATTTATATAATATTCTCTAACTCTCTAACTGAAATAATAGAAATGATATATAGAAAAAGGTTTAATGTATAGATAATCCGAATATGAAGTAAATAATTCTTTTCTTTTACATCTTGACAGAAAATTTATCCGTAAAAAAGTTGAAAGTTGAATATTTTGGGAAATTAGATGTTGAGTGACCTGATCAATGAAGTTCACTGGGACATATGCAATGAGAGCTTCGAGCCCATTTTAGCTACACCACAGTCATAATGGTTAGCTTAGGTTGGGGTTTATTATGGTTAGTCCCTTAAAAACTGAAGTCCAATTAACCAGTCAGTCAGTCATCCTTATTAGTAGCAATCATTCAGTTGGTATATCTTCCTAGACTAGTGATTGGTCGACCCTCTGTGGACCCGTGAACTCATCATCTGGAGAGAGACAAACAGAAGCTGATGTTCACTAAAATTCGCGTGAATGATGACTTGCACAGGAAGAAGGTCTCAGCCTCGTCTATGACTCGGGACCACAGGAAAGATTCTCGGAAATAAAGCTCATCAAGTTAGGGTAGTTCTGTGATCATTAGTTATCTAGTTATCGCTATTCAGTGACTATTATCTCTTCCCCCATCATGTTACCTTCCTTCTTGCCTTGGTGGTGAGGGTGAGGAGCAACTGATTGTGGAACACGACCTACGGTATTATCTCTGTGACTCACCCAAGGGTCATCGTTTGACGGTCCAAGAGCAGGTCAAACCATCCAACTGGCTGTGTTGGTGGAACCTGTCAAGTTGTATTTTTGTATAATTTTATTCATATTGAGGAAATGCTGTTGATGTTATTATGTATTACTGCGCTTTGTAACTTATGTGTATAGGCACGTAAGTAAAGTTTAAATCAAAGAGAGAGAGAGCAACATATCTCTTTGGTTGAGCATATAAAGTAGGGTAAGTAAATATGACATTCGTGACCTTTATCAAACGTTAAATTCATTATTTGAATTCTCTTGGTGAGTCAAGTAAAGATGGTCGATGGCGGAGAACAGAACCAGAGTGGGTGGCCAAAGTGAACACACACGCTGGCCTAACAAGAGTCCAGTCTAGTCTTCTCTGTTAACATCCTACCAACCAACCTAAGAGATTTCTCACTTAATATACATAAAAAATAAATAGCACCAGTATATTAGTATATACACACACCTACACCCACCTTGAGGCGTGGTGAGCTGTGAACCTTGAACTGTGTGCTTTCTGGGTCACCTTCACCTCTCCTCCTCCCTCTCACTACAACCTTCACTCAACATATTCTCAGAACTTCGGACGATAAATTTTCACCCTAAGATATTGGAACCCTTCGAATTGGCTTACTTTAGTTATGATAAAAATATAGATGCCTAAAGATTCTTGAATAAACATTGAAAGGCATTAGAACGCATTCAACTTAGGTTAGGTTAGTTTAGGAACTACGACACCAAGATGGATTCATGAAAGGTTCGATCACTGAATTTTTCCCTTACTTGAAGACCTCACTTAAAACATTATATAAATAGGACAGCTAAATAGCGCTAGTATGACTCTGAGACTATATATTCACTCTTTTATTTCCATATGAGAGAGGGGTAATAGCGTGGGTCATTACCAGCCTTGAAGACAAAGAAAATGGGACGGTGTGTTTGAGGGACTGACTAAACTATTCAACACCTGAGCCGGAGTTGTAAGAAAGCTCCTAACTAGTTGACTTAGATCACCTGAACATTAGCCCTCCTTAGTTTATTCACCTTAAGATTAATCACCCTAACTTTCACCTAACTTGACTTAATCCAATGTAACCTATTTTAAACCCTCCAAGATAAAGGATGTCAAAAGGAGAGGAAAACCCCTTAAAGGATGTCAAAGGGAGAGGAAAACCCCCTTAAAGGATGTCAAAGGGAGAGGTAAACCCCTTAAAGGATGTCAAAAGAAGAGGAAAACCCCTTAAAGGATGTCAAAGGGAGAGGAAAACCCGTTAAAAATTTATACTGTAAGAGGACATAGTCAACTAATCCTGAATTAACCTCAGGATCTTATATATAAATCTTTATGTTCGTTTTCCCTAACAGCCAGTACGTTTTCTTCTACAACAAGACGCACTGGTTTATGAGGGAAGAAAATTTGAAAGCACTGGACTCGATTCAACATTCTCCATTGCTCTATATTATCTTCTATCGGCTCGTAAGTCAATATACATACGTAGAGTCTTAGGCTAATTTTGGGAGTTATTTTCGTATCAGATAATAATGTAAAGTAGATAGTTATATACATTCTTAAACCCCAAGTTATGAAGACAAAATGTAACATGTTAACTATTCACAATCTGGCCCAGGGTTTTAGGAAGAAAAATATTCACTAAAGTATTGCTGATAACATATATTGATTAAACGTAAAAGATAAATGATATGTTTGAAGTATTAGGAAGATTATAACGAAGTCTACCCCACTAGGCCAAACAAAGAACGTGGGAAGTGGGTTAAGTGACTCATGGGTTCATTATCCATGCTCCGGATTCACCCCAGACTTGTAGGATGCCTGTACTGGTGTGACCGGTAGTTGTACTGATTTACTTGTATTTGTACTTGTAGTTAAATTTGTTTTTGTTTCTCACTCCTTGTCTATCCCGTTTTCTTTAATCTCACATTGGCTTCATCTCTCTTTCGCTCGTTTTTCTTTGTTTTTCACTCTCCCTTTCTTTATATCTCACTCTTCCTTTCATGTCTCTCATTCTTCCTTTCATTATCTCTCACTTTTCCTTTCCTTGTATCTCACTCTTCCATTCTTTGTGTCTCATTCTCTCATTTTCTTCCTGTTCCCCCTTCCCTTAACTCATTCTCCCATTTTCTTTCTCTCAATCTCCCTTTCTCAGTGGCACCCTCTTACACCCTCGCTCTTTAAGACGCAGATGCTCCTGGTAACACTAGCCACACACACCAGCTGGCTACCAGGTAAAGGTCCCTATACTCCTGGGGTCCTTGGCCTTGACTGTGTGACTCGTACAATGCTAACCTAACCTTCTTCGTCTCCTCTGCTTCTAGTACTGCTGTGTGCTGAGTCAACCTTCTACATACACGTCTTGTTTTCCCTCAAGGTTTAAGGGATTAAGTTTATGTATTGGTTAACCAGAAGACTAGATTACCTGGGGGTTATTTCAGGTGATGGTTAATTAACTACCTTAACTCTACTTGGTTGGGTTGGGTTAGGTTAAGTTAGAGTGTTTAATCAAGTAGTAGTTGTAGTAAACATCAGGTGAAATAAGCTAAGGCGTCTAATCTACAGGTGACACTAAATCACCCTTAACTCGTGAAAAAAATACATCCATTAGTCAGGTCAGGAAAGATGGATTCTGGACTGACTTAAAGCACCCCAGAATATGAAGCTCCTCGTGTACTCGGGATCATATGGTACACCCCAGTCGTGATGTTCACAGGGGAGGGAAATGTCATTGTACTCGCTGGGTTCAGTCAGTTCCGGTTATGACACAACCCCGACGGCGGTGTGAGTCGGCAGGTACAATTCCGCTCAGAAGTTCGTGGTACACTGGCGGTGAAGGGTGTATAGTCTGTTGTACCCTTCCTGGACGACAGGTCACTACGCCAACCCTCCCACCAAAACACACAGTGGAACTGACAACGGAGCAACGTAATTCGAACGAATCACTGCTGATGGATGATGAAGATGTGCTAATATTTTGTTTACGAGAGCAGAAATCTATAGCGATAGGAGTATCCATTCGAATTTCAGAATACAATAGGAAAATTAGTTTCGAATGAACTATCGCCTTACGTGTGATTAACGGCAGCAGTGGGGCAAAAACGAAAAATGGCAGGTATTGCCTTACGATACTGTAAATATAACCACGATACTGTAAATATAACCACGATACTGTAAATATAACCACAACTCCCAGAAATCCGTATGACTTGCTGGTGTTATAACGTATCTTACTTCCCCCACTTGCGATAAAACATTAATGAGTAGCCCTCTTAAGTGCACATAGGCTACACAAAGGCAGGTAGTCCTCTTAAGTGCACAACCGCCACCCAACCCTCCACCTCCCCCCCCAAAAAAACACGAACCAACACCTTAAATAAACAACTCATTTCACAGCTCCTACCCCACCTCATTTCACAGCTCCTACCCCACCCCCGTCCCTCCCAAAAGCATCTCACTTGGACGTACCTGGAATGCGGTGTGTTGCTGTCCCACGATGAACTGTTTCCATATCACTTACCTGTGGAGAGAAAAATTATTACAATTACTAATCATCCAACACACACCTGTATCATATGTACTTAATTAACCCCCCCATATTAGAGGTACAACTCAGGTATGATTTTTTTAGTTGGATCAAATGTATGTTTTTGTTCAATGTGGTAGTAGTGGTAGTAGTAGTGGTAGTTACCTTATGCTGGTGGTAGGGGACGCCTGGTGATAGTGGTAGATGAAGCCTTGCGCTGGTGTGACACTGTATGGCACTTTACGACACTTATAATGCTGTTCGACACTTATGACACTGTTCGACACTTATGACACTGTTCGACACTTATGACACTGTTCGACACTTATGACACTGTTCGGCACTTATGACACTGTTCGACACTTATGACACTGTTCGACACTTATGACACTGTTCGACACTCTATGATTGACGGCACTCTTAAATTAATTGTTCGACACTTCTATCTGGACACTTATGACACTGTCTCGACACTTATGACACTGTCTGACATTTGACACTGTTCGACACTTATGACACTGTTCGACACCTATGACACTGACGGCACTGTGACACTGTTGACACGCTTCGACACTTATGACACTGTTCGACACTGTTCGACGACACTGTCTGACACTGTCTCGACACTTAGACACTTGTTCGACACTTATGACACTGTTCGACACTCT